AAAAAAAAAAAAAGAAAAGAAAGAAAGAATGAAAGAAAAAAAAAAAATTAACCTGAATTCAACGGAAATGTATCTCCAGATTGTGTCCATGGGGAGAAAGAAATTTAGTGCCGATTTCCAGCTGATGTTCAGACTTCTGAAGCTATGCATGTTCATTGCCTTTGTGGTCGGACTCATTATCTCCCTTAAATTTCTCGAGCTCACGGTTGGAGATATTTTCGCGAGCTTGCTAGCTTTCTTGCCAACCGGATGGGCACTTCTGCAGATAGGACAAGCTTATAGGCCAGTGGTCAAGGCATTTGGAATGTGGAACTCGATTCAAGCTCTTGCGAGAGGTTATGAGTACCTTATGGGATTTCTCATCTTTGCTCCTGTTGCAATTCTTGCCTGGTTCCCGTTCGTCTCTGAGTTCCAAACAAGGCTGCTTTTCAATCAAGCCTTCAGCAGAGGTCTGCAAATTCAGCGTATTCTGGCTGGTGGAAAGAAGAACAAATGAGTTGGTTAATGTGCGTGTAAAATCTCATGCAATGTGAATTTTGTTAACATTGCTATTGGGGTATTCTATTTCTGGACTGTACGAAATAGTGCCTCCAATCTGACTCGGTTTCGAAAGTGCAAAAATCGTATGTGTACATTGTGCAACTTCTGGGAACGTGTATATACAGGTCGATATGCATGATAATCTTTTTGTATAGAATATCTGTATGGCAATCGGAGGATAGAGTTCAGCAAACGCATAAGTTCATGTTAGTCTCCTGATCAATATAAGGCATCTAATGGTTAGTCGTTTCTTAATGGCCTATGTTAACTATTATATAGGCCCAACCCATATATACTTAAGCCCTAAGTCTATATATATGGGCATCCTCACGTGTGGATATTCATTCATTCATAAACCCTAAGGTTTGTAACACTGTTAACTATTATATAGGCCCAAACCATGTATACTAAGCCCTAAGTCTATATATATGGGCATCCTCACTTGTGGATATTCATTCATTCATAAACCCTAAGGTTTGTAACATGGTATCAGAGCTTGTTTAATACGCGAGTATAATAATATCTACTGAAAAATATATATATATATTTTTTTTGGTACAACTGAAAAATTAAATTTCAATTAAGTGAAAGTGAAAAATTAAACCATCGCATGCCGTGCCTATCTCCTGTAAGTGGGTCTTTAAGATTAAGACCAAGTCGGATGGCTCCATTGAGAGATATAAAGCTCGTCTTGTTGCTAGAGGCTTTCAGCAGACTCAGGGGAGAGATTATGATGAGACTTTTGCTCCCGTTGCTCACATGACGACTGTTCGTACTTTGATTGCAGTGGCTGCTACTCGTTCCTAGACCATATCTCAGATGGATGTGAAGAATGCTTTCCTTCATGGTGATCTGCATGAGGAAGTTTATATGCAGCCATCACCGGGTGTTGATGCCTCCTCTGGACATGTTTGTCGCCTTCGTCGCGCATTATATGGTCTCAAACAGGCTCCTCGTGCTTGGTTTGAGCATTTTGTTTCTGTCATACGGGCTGCTGGTTTCTCTCCTAGTGATCATGATCCTGCTTTGTTTATTCATCTCTCTCCACGTGGGCGTACTCTACTTCTTCTATATGTTGATGATATGTTGATTACGGGAGATGATGCAGAACATATATCTCATGTCAAGAATCAACTTGGTCAACAATTTCAGATGTCCGATTTGGGTCTTCTTAGCTACTTTTTGGGCATTGAGGTGATGCATTCTGCCTCGGGCTATTACCTTTCTCAGTCTAAGTACATACAAGACCTTCTTGTTCGTTCCGGCATTACTGATAATCGGACAACAGTTACGCCTATGGATCTTAACTTAAAGCTTCGTCCCACTAATGGTACGCCTCTTGAGGATCCCTCTAACTATCGACATATTGTAGGCAGTCTCGTTTATCTTACTGTTACTAGGCCTGACATTGCTCACGCAGTTCATATATTGAGTCAGTTTGTGAGTGCTCCTACTTCGGTTCATATTGGGCATTTGCTTCGCGTGCTACGATACTTAAGGGAAACATCATCTCAGTGTTTATTATATTCTCGCGATAGTCCGCTTCAGCTTCATGCTTACTCAGATTCTACTTGGGCAAGCAATCCAACTGACCGTCATTCTGTCATTGGTTATTGCATTTTTCTTGGTTCTTCTCCACTTACATGGAAGTCCAAGAAGCAGGCAGCTGTATCTCGATCTAGCACAGAGGCAGAACTTCGAGCACTTGCTACTACCACCTCAGAACTTATATGGCTTCGATGGTTGTTAGTCGATTTTGGTATTTCATGTGATGATCTTACGCCTCTTCTTTGTGATAATACTGGAGCAATCCAAATTGCCAATGATCCAGTAAAACATGAACTTACAAAACACATTGGTGTTGATGCTTCCTTTACCCAATCTCACTATAATCGGAAAACAATTATTCTTCAATATGTGCCGTCAGAACTGCAAGTGGCTGATTTTTTCAAGAAAGCACAAACCAGAGAGCAACATCGGCTTCACTTGCTCAAACTCAATGCTTCGGATCCTCCACCTTCACCTTGAGTTTGAAGAGGGGTGTCAACTATTATATAGGCCCAACCCATATATACTTAAGCCCTAAGTCTATATATATGGGCATCCTCACTTGTGGATATTCATTCATTCATAAACCCTAAGGTTTGTAACACTGTTAACTATTATATAGGCCCAGCCCATATATACTTAAGCCCTAAGTCTATATATATGGGCATCCTCACTTGTGGATATGTATTCATTCATAAACCCTAAGGTTTGTAACAGCCTAATGCAAACTCTCCTTTTACTATCAAAGTTTGGAATTCCTCAATGTTAGAGCATTATAGACTTTATTAGTATGTTTATATTTACTTAACACATCAGAAAGTGTTGACTTGAAAAACAATCATTCTCCAATAGCTAATGACCAATATATGCATAGATGCCAAATCTCATTGTAGGCGAATGGGTAGTCTATCATCAATATACATGCAAAAAATACACAAGCATTATTTATAATTTTATTTTAAAAAGGGTTAATTGCCTATAAAACCTCAATCTTTTGTTGAATTGCCAAAAACAAAAAATCAACTTTTTCCACTTTGCAACTAAATACCTTACTTTTATTATGTATTGCAAGTTTATCTCAAAATCAATTTCCGTCAACCCTTGCTGACATGTTCGATCGGAATTTTGACGTGGCTCCGATTAAGATTGCGTGGCACTCAACATTTTAAAGTCAATGCCACATCATCTTACACATAAGCCTCCACGTCACATCCTCAACACTTTTTAAGGCTCGTTTTTTCCCCATTTTTTCAGCCAGAATTATCAGAAAAAAAGTTCAGTGACGAACGTCGATTTCTTCTCGATTTTTTTTTTGGAATTGGATTTAACTTTATTCGAAATAAATTAATTAATCCCAAGAGCATTCATATTTAATAATCGAGAATCAAAATTGAAGAGCGGAAGCGTACCTGATATATTCATGTTGATTGATTTCTTTAGAACTCAAAATTATATTTCGGATTTGGAAATCTTCCAAAAGACCGTGATCCTTATTTTTCTTATTTTTCTTCCTCTTGAACGTATAAAAGGAAAGAAAACTTGTTGAAGAAAAATGATGCCCCTCAACCCCTTTTATTGATGAGTTTTCCGCCTGATGGATTTTAATGCAACATTTTGTTGCACCTATCCACCTACCATACTTAATGCCTGCAACATTTAGTTGCACCTACAATACTTAATGCTGCCAAACTTAATGCAAAGTGTCAACAACTTTTTTTTTTAATTCCTTATGGGTTATCCTAATGTACATTACTTTATTTTTCACGGCTTTTGAGGGCTCCACCCATTAATTATTTTGACCCAAATTATTTGATATTTGGGTCCTTTAGTTTAATATTATTATTTGTTACGTCACCAAATAATAATATTACCGGGTGTCCAATTTAATCATTCCACAATTTAAAATTAAGTTCCTTAGCCAATATATAATAATTTGATCACTTAATTTGGCTAAACAATATTATGACCCAATGTATTTAATTGCACATATTTAATCCCAAACAAATCTAACAATCTCCCACTGGATTCAATATGTGTCCTGATAATACATTATACTTATGAGCTCAAGGTCTTTATTACAGAACTTGAACAATCTAGTCCATTAATCACAACACTATAGGACTAAAGCAGTTTTCGCCGTATAGACACAGCTAAACTATCAATAATCACATATATCACCATGATTAAACAACATATATCAAACTGTGGAACATGTGGCATGAAAATTACATGAATGTGATCAGTACATGTCAATTTTCAACTAGTCCAAACTTAATGAGATCGTTAAGTACCAAAACATAATGTACACAGTGTCATGAACCAAAACTTTATTTCTGATCAGAATAAGCACTTTATATATCATCGAATAAAAATGACAAAAAATATGTAGCAAATGCTCCCACTAGAGTGAAGCTTCCTGAATGTGTAACACACCCATATGAGCAGTATGCTCGTAAAATACCATAGGTGTTACACCTTTAGTTAGGGGATCTGCTAACATAGATTTTTTCCCTAAATGTTCGATGGAAGTTTGACCACTTTGCACCCTCTCCTTCACATCTAGGAACTTAATGTCAATATGCTTTGACTTAGACGAGCTCCTATTGTTGTTGGAGTATAGAACAGCTAATTTATTGTCATAAAAGATCTTGATAGGTCTTTCAACCTCTGGAATAATTCGCAGCCTTGTGACAAAGTTCCTTAATCATATTCCCTAGTTTGATGCCTCGAAACACGCCACAAACTCAGCTTCCATAGTGGAAGTAGTAACAAGTGTTTGTTTAGCACTACGCCAGGAAATGGCACCACCAGCCAATATAAATAAGTACCCAGACGTAGACTTTCTACTGCCTTGGCACCCTGCAAAATCGGAGTCAGAATATCCAACGATCTCCAAATGGTCTGATCCCCTATATGTGAGCATATAATCCTTAGTTCTCTTAAGGTATCTCATCACCCTTTTGGTTGCTTTCCAGTGATCCAATCCAGGATTACTAAGGTATCTACCTAACACACCAATTATGTGCGCAATATCCAGACGCGTACATACTTGAGCATACATTAGGCTCCCAACTGCTGATGCATAAGGGACCTTTTGCATTTCCTGGATTTCCAAATTTCCCTTTGGGCATTGACTTAGGCTAAATTTATCTCCTTTAGCCATTGGGGTATTTCTTGGTTTGCTGTTCTGCATGCCAAATCGCTCAAGCACTTTATCTATATAGCTCTTTTGTGATAACCCTAGAATACCTCGAGATCGCTCTTAATGTAGCATGATTCCTAATACAAAAGACGCTTCACCAAGATCTTTCATTTCGAAATTATTCGAAAGAAATTTCTTAGTTTCGTGCAACAGCCATATATCGTTTGTAGCAAGTAGAATGTCATCCACATACAAAACCAAAAAAATAAATTTACTCCCACTGAACTTGTGATAAACACAATCATCAACAACATTCATCTCAAAATCATACGAGATAATTATTTGATGAAATTTGTGATACCACTGTCGAGACGCTTGTTTGAGCCCATAGATGGATTTTCTTAATTTACAGACCATTTTCTTCAGGTCATTGACCTCAAAGCTTTCTGGTTGTACCATATAGATCGTCTCATCAATGTCACCATTGAGAAATGCAGTCTTTACATCCATCTGATGTAACTCTAAATCAAAATGTGCCACTAGAGCCATGATTGTTCTAAAAGAGTCCTTCGAGGATACTGGAGAAAATGTCTCTTTATACTCAATCCCTTCCCTTTGAGTATATCCTTTAGCCACAAGACGTGCTTTATACCTCTCCACATTACCATTTCCATCCCTTTTGGTTTTAAAAATCTATTTGCAACTAACAGGTTTTGCACCTTCTGGCAAAGGGACAAGTTCCCAAACCTTATTGTCTTGCATTGACTTATACTCTTCACGCATCGCTTCGATCCATTTGTTTGAGTTGGGAGGCTCCAATAGCCATCCCACCACTCGCCTGCGGCGCCCTTAATCTGCAACACAACGCACACATCTTGTGCTCCTCCGCTATCCCCATCACCCGAAAGATCCTCTCC